TGCTCGTATATTAGGAATGGAAAGCTAGATACGAAGTGGAGGAGCAGGCAAACGAAAAGCAGGAAAGAAACTCAAAGACTGCTTTGGATGGTAATTTCGTCACCTAAACACAAGACTCCCAGGCGTGTTTATAGCCCGTTTACATTTGTCCTTAGCGAGAATGTATTTTGTCAAGGTATGGTTGTTCTATTAAATCCAGTTTGTGTTTTACTTTCCGGAATGCTTCATGTTTATGAGAGGGGTATATATATAAATAACAAAATTTCATTAAATTTTCTCTCTCTATATAAAAATTTTTTAGCCGAAAACTTTTTCAGTAAAATATATAAAAATTTATCTTTTTATTATACAATGCGGAACTTAGCCATTAACTAATTGCTAATTATTTTTCCAAATACTTACATTTGCCCAATTTAGCCCTAAATTAAATAGAAAGTTTTTTTCATTTTATGTAGCAATACCCATGTTTAGCCGTAAATTAACGGCTAAATTTGTTCTATGTTATAGTCGAATACCCATGTTTAGCCGTAAATTAACGGCTAAATTTCTTCCATGTAATAGTCGAATACCCATGTTTAGCCGTAAATTAAGGCCTAAATTTGTTCCATGTTAAATGCTGATACTCATGTTTAGCAGTTAATTCACTGCTAAATTTGTTCCATGTTATGTACTGAGACCCATGTTAAGCCGTAAATTAACGGCCTAAATTTCTTCCATGTTATATGCTGAGATCCATGTTTAGCCGTAAATTACCGGCTAAATTTGTTCCATGTTATATACCGAGACCCATTTGTAGTCTAATTTAACAGCTAAATTTACTCTTGCGCTTACTTACTGCTAAATCGAGAGTACTCTATATTATATGCAACAAATTTAGCCGTTAATTTAGTGCTAAGTTGAGAGTACTCTATATTATATGCAACCAATTTAGCCGTTAATTTACTGCTAAATCGAGAGTACTCTATATTATATGCAACAAATTTAGCCGTTAATTTACTGCTAAATCAAGAGTACTCTATATTATATGTAACAAATTTAGCCGTTAATTTACTGCTAAATCGAGAGTACTCTATATTATATGCAACCAATTTAGCCGTTAATTTAATGCTAAATCGAGAGTACTCTATATTATATGCAACCAATTTAGCTGTTAATTTACTGCTAAATCGAGAGTACTCTATATTATATGCAACAAATTTAGCCGTTAATTTGTGGCTAAAAGTTCACTTTGTAATATACTAAGTAGGTTTATTGCGAAATTCTTTGAATATCTGTAGAATGCGTTTGCTGCAAAATTCGCCGTTGTCTAAACTCCGGTAGAATTGTTTGGAACTGTATTTTTGAAGCTGCGGGAAGCAAAGGCGGAAGGAAACATTTTACACAATTACCGATTTCACATTGTCACACGTTTTAAGTCGTAACTCCAAATAACCAATGTAAATTTTTCTCAAAGTTTGCAGTAAAATTCGTCGGATAAGCGAAAAGGATGTGTTCCCTAAGCGGTCTGCAGATAATGTTACGCGGTCATATTT